TGATTGGTGGGCACTACCTGACTCTCCGGCCTTGGAGGAAGGGATTCAATGCCAAGACTGCTGAAGTGGCATCGACCATGGTGTGGGCACGGTTCCCGGGGATTCCAATTGAATTCATTAACAGGGAGGTTGTGGAGCGTATCGCCTCCAGGATTGGTCGCCCCGTCAAAGTGGATCGACCTACTCAGAATGGGGATATGGGAAGATTTGCTCGCGTTTGTGTCGAAGTTTATCTGACTAAGCCCCTCCTCTCGCAGTTTAAGATAGAAGGGTTGACATACTATATTGAGTTTGAAGGGCTGCATCAAATCTGCACTGAATGTGGGCGGTACGGACATACAGTTAAGATTTGCCCTTCCCTTTTCAAGCAACCAGAGAAGCAACTAGAGAAGGAGCAAATAGAGTTGGAGGAGGCTACTCCTAAGGCGCCGAACCCGCCTAAGGTTTATGGGGAATGGATGGTAGCCAAGCCACGGTCACGAAAATCGGTGAGCAAGCGCACTGATATTACTAGAACTGGCCAGACACAACCTCCTGAATCGTCAAGGCCTAGCTCGGGAACCCGCTTTGATGTCTTATTGGAGGAGGAAGAGGAGAAGGAGATTAGCACTCCGGGGACAGAATTACTAGCACAAGATGGTTTACAGGGGGAGGCGATGATGACTGATACCACGATAGTTGAGGCACCCCGTGTCTCTACCTCAGAGAAACCTGTAGAAGTGTCTGACTCGGGTGTGGTCCAGGTGGCTAATGCCAAGGCATCTATTAGGGGTGGGCAACGGGACGGGATTGGGTACCCATCCCGTTTGAAACGGGTACCCAATCCCATTTGAAGAGTAAACTCCATCCCATATCCCAAACTCGTACGGGTTAACGGGTACCCATTACCCATACGGGACGGATAGCGGGTACCCGCGGGTACCCATAGATGAAGCTGATTTCGCTTAATTTCTGTTTGCGAACATATCTCATGACAATCCCGGGCGAAGCAAAAGACTAGAAGGGAAGCAAAAGGGCTACAAACCTCGCCACCTTTCTGCCATAAACAACTGCCAACAAACTACATTCTGATTTTGGGATCCAATACATGTATAGAATAGACCACAAGCATAATTCCTATTTCAAGAAAGAGTTACAGAGGAAAGCAGATATAATTTTGGCTAGTAATACAAGCATGGAGTGATTCTCTTCCTCTCAACAGTAGTTTGAAGAGCTACCCTGAGTTCAAGGCTCGAAGTTTTGGTTTGTTGCATTTTCTATATGGAAGAGTAGCAATGAGATTCGACAAGCAGAAGCTTCCTCTGCAATTCTGGTTAACATGGGTTGGGGTATGGGCGGGTAATACGGGTACCCGTAATACCCAAACGGGTATTAACGGGTTACCCGTGGGTACCCATTATATATCTTCTTAATCCCATGTCCCATTCCGTAAAAAAAAATTACGGGTATATGGGTACCCATAACCCTCAAAAAACGGGATGGGTATGAGTATACCCAAATATCCGTTTCTCGTTGCCCACCCCTAGCATCTATGCTCACGACTAAGGCGACTGATAAACTGGTTACGCGATCCAATCGGTGGCCTTGCCTAAAGGGGTGAGTAGCAACGGGATGAAACATGACAAAGGACAGGGAAAGAAGAGAGGTGAAACTAGGAGTGGCAGTTCGGTTTCCGATTAGCGACTAACCGGCCGGTTCAACCGATAACCGCCAGTTCGCGGCTAAACAAAAACTGACATTTATCAAAGGTGGTCGGTTGTCGGCACAGAGATTGGTCACTTCGGCTAGCCGATAATCGAAGCCGGTTTAACCGGCAAACCGAAGCTAACTGAATCACCTTCCATCAATGTCTATATACGGCACAGTTTAACAATTTCAACCTTAAAAACAACATCCTCCAGCACTCCTCCCTTTCCCAGTGACCCGCCGACGTGGCACCTTACCCGCCAACCTCCCGCGAGCCCCGACTCTTCCAGTTTTTACCGGCGACCCCTAACCCCGTGCCATCCCTCGCTGACCCACGACCCTCGTCGACCCCTCGCCGACCCGCGACCCTTGTCGACCACTCGACCCCCAGCAACAGCATCAGAAAAAGGAAGAGAAACAAGATGAAAACAAAGACAAGCAGAAGATCGTCGCCGCCCTTGCTCTTCCCGTCTACCGCACGCCGCTGCAGCTTCTCCTCCTTCATAGAAGTAGAGAGAGGAGAGAAAAAGAAGAGTTTGGAGGGTAGCAGTTTAGGAGAAGCAGGGAGAGGAGAGTAGAAGGTCTGGTTTTTGTTATTCCCGGTAAAACAAAGAGGAGAGAAGAAGAAGAAGAAGAAGATAAGAAACGTGTGGGCTTCCTCTTCTCTTTTTTTTTTTTTTATTGCTAGCTAACAAAACAAGAGAGAAGAACACGTGGGAGGGGTGGGGTGGTTTCTTTTCTTTTTTTTTAATAATTTTGGTTAATTGCGGTATAACTGAACCAAAACCAAAAACCGGTCGGTCGGTCGGTGGTCGGCTACCCGTAGCTTCCTCACGGTCAGTGGTCGGCAACCATAAGAGACGACTCGGTTTAACCGATAATCAAAAAATTGATTTTCGGTTAAACCGAAACCGACCGACTGACACTCCTAGGTGAAACACACCAGGTGGTCCCTGCCAATCCCGACAGTACCATGGTGGAAAAGAAGGCAGGGAAAAGTGGTGGGACAAGTTCGGATGAAAGGCGCAAAGGTAGTACAAAGGAGGCTCAGGGGGTGGGTCATTCTCCGTCTATGCTTATCGGTGATCCAAAGCCGAGTGGTAAAGATGGCCAACAGGCCACTGGTCGTGTGCGCTAATTCCCAGCTTTTTGCTGGCTGTTTAGGGAGTCTCTTTCCTTTACTCTTTTTGTTTGTTTCTTCCTGGTTTTTGTTATCATGTTAAATTTTTTTGCTTGGAACTGCCAAGGGGCAGGTCACGACAAGTTTATCTCCATTTTACGGTCTTTTTTGTGCCTACACGGCCGGATATTGTAATTATTGTGGAGCCCCGGATCAGTGGATCGGTGGCTCAAAAGGTCATTTCTCATATCGGGTTTGATGGCGTGTTGTTGGTTGATGTTGTTGGCTTTGCAGGAGGCATTTGGGTTTTGTGGGATGAGCAGGAGTTGATGATCTCAGAGCTCGAAGCTTGGGAGCAGATGATTCATTTTTCTTGTAAGAGACGAGGTAGTAGGGGACCACCAGTTGTTATCTCTGCGGTCTATGTGAGTCCGCATCCCAGTCGTCGACAAGATCTGTGGGACAGGATGTGGCTGCTTGCTACACAAACTATAGAGTCGTGGCTATTGGTGGGAGATTTCAACTCTATTCTGGGTCCAAATGATCGAATGGGGGGCGGAGCCTATTTGAAATCAAGAAGAAGTGTCTTCCGTAACTGTCTGGATGCATGCGGGTTGATGGAAGTGGGTTTCACAGGACCCCCGTTTCACCTGGAAGAGAGGTGGCTTATCTCAAAGGCTTGACTGGGCGGTGTGCAACAGAAGGTGGTTCCGGCAATTACCGGAATCAATAAGTCATCATTTAGAGCGGGTTGGTTCAGACCACCAACCCCTTTGAGTCTGTACCGAGGCCCATGGAAAACGGAGTGGAGGCACTCGCTCATTTCATTTTTTAGCAGCTTGGTTGGGGCATGAGGATTTCCCTCGCCTCCTGGAGATGAGTTGGAAACATGTTCTCTCATTGCCAACGTCTCTGGTAAAGCTTAAGACCGACCTCCAAAGTTGGAATAAGCGAGTCTTCGGCAACATCTTCCGGCGTAAGAGAGACCTGGCTAGACAACTCCGCCGGTTGGAGGAGTTCAATGAAACCTCGGCTACTGTGCAGTCTCGGAAGCAGGAAGAGAGAGTGCGGCAGGAGTTAGAATCGACTCTTTGGCAGGAGCAACTTTTATGGTTTCAGAAGTCGCGGGCTTCCTGGATTACCCAAGGAGATAAAAACACCTGGTTCTTTCACTTGTCCACTCTCAAACGGCATCGGATTAATAAGATATCAGCGCTCCAGGACCAGAATGGTGAGTGGGTTCATGATGATGTTGTCATGCAGGAGATGGCAAGGGACTTTTATAGGATTCTATACCTGGCTGAGGCTGGCCCTGCTCTGTGGGTGCCGAATGGCTTTAACAAGCTGGATGCTGACATTGGCAATGCACTTGTTAGACCCTTGATGCGAGAGGAGGTTTGGGCTGCTGTCAAGGATATGGGGGGACTTAAAGCCCCGGGCAAATATGAGTTCTAACCGCTGTTCTACCAGAAATGCTGGGAGAGGGTGGGGGATGCATTTTCCGAGTTTGTCTGCAGGTGCTTTATGGATCCGGTTCTGATTAAGGAGGTGAACGAGACTCTTATCGTCCTCATCCCCAAGAAGGAGAGTCTGGAGACCATCCAGCAATTTTGCCTGATTGGTCTGTGTAATGTGTCGTACAAGACTGTGGCAAAATGTATTGTGAACAAGATTAAACCTCTTATGCGTCGTCTGGTGCACCCAACCCAAACCAGCTTTGTCCCGGGGAGGCACATAACAGACAAAATCATCATTGTTCGGGAGGTTGTGCATTCCATGGGTTTGAAGAAAGGGAGGAAGGGTCGGATAACATTGACGATCGATTTAGCTAAGACTTATGACCGAATCAGCTGGGGTTTCCTGTGCGAAACACTTGAAGCAACAGGGTTTCCTGGGGATCTCATTATGACGATTATGGCCTGTGTCTCCTCTTCCGGTACGCAGGTTTTGTGGAATGGCGCTCACACCGAGACATTCGTTCCATCTCGAGGACTACGTCAAGGGTAATGTTTGTGCCGATTATCTTGCTAGTCAGGGTCATCACCTTACCTATGGTTGTCATTTGTTTCCGATTTCCGATCTGATGCTCTTGCATATGCTATTGTATGACTGTCAAAGGGTTTTTGTACCCCGGTTGGTTTTGAATGAAAGTTAGAGTGTCGTTGCATCCATTATAAAAATAATAATAAAAACAACTCTAGGCTTCATTTTCCTTCTATAACATGACAATCAAATATTTTTAATTATGAATAATCAATTTACAACAAGTTATACATACCTTTGATTTAACAACACAACCCAATCCTGTTTTCTGTTTGTGGATAAACATCAAAACTTTCCAGTTCCTCGATGAGTCACGATAGGAAACGACCACTGCTTTTCCTTCAAGTGCATGAACTCGTACGGCATAAGCCCTGACCCGATCGTAACAGGCCAACTGATATGACCCAAAATACAACTTTACCGAAAGCCAATAGGCCATGACTGAAAAGGAAAGCCCACTAACGTTTTGATCTCTCATTCAGATCGTTTCATTCGGCAGCAAGTTTTCCACTGTTAATTCCCTACTGAAGAGAGACACGTACAGCCAGAAGGCATGATGAATACACAAAGCTATCTTGGCCGTCCGTTGAATTGAATTACCACCCTTAGAATTTAGAAATGAGCAACAGACAGAAGAAACGACAGATGGCAGCCATCCTTAGTGCCTTAACCCCACAAGAAAAGTGCTCGTTTGGAAGGTAGATTCCCGGACAAAAACCATATCTTTGGGAGATCATCGCATCTTCCACACTGCGCATGACACGTAACCAAAAACCCTACTCCAGTCTTTCTTTCAAGAGGCATCACCCATTTGTTCAACAATTAATACCAAAAGTAAGATGCGGCACTAGCTGATAAAACATTACTTTGCCACTACGACACCCCAATTTCTCATTGACCAGGACCCTTTACTCGATGCAAGCCCACGAATCTGCCCTTATAAATCTTACCCTTTCTGCTGCTTCTTGCTCATCCCAACTCCATCTCTTCTCTTAGCTTCTTTCCTACACAACACAAACCAGTTTCCTCTTCCCGCTTTCTCTTCTCTTTCCTGTTTCTGATAACTTCAAAGAATTTATTACCAAAAGAAATGGCGAATGCCCGCATAGCAAGGTTCATCACAGAGGTAGCACCGTCACAGTATGTTAGTGTCATGAGGCGCAGAGCATCCAAGATGATGGATACCATCAAGGAAGAAGAGAGAGACACCACCACTGCCAGCTTTGATGCTCTCTCCACCAGGTCCCGCACTTTTGCAGCTCCTAATAACAACACCTCCACTGCCTCTTCCTCTTCTTCTGCTGCTGCTGCTAAATCCGAGCACTTGCTCACCGGGATCCAAAGATCACTTTTTGATCTCTGAAAGACCACAGATGATGCTTCTACCAGAGACTTTCCTGTCTGTGACTTGTAGAAGAAATGCAGTTTTGCATTCTCAATTCTCCCCTTTTGTTTTCTTTTTTTCCCAGTGGTGAAAGGGGAACAATGTTTGTTTTGGTCAGAGATGTTTCTTGACTGGAGTTGCAGCAGATGGGAGGTCTTTTTGTAAACTCTATCTGTAGAACAAGTGCTTAAATTGTCAGAAACCACAGTGAAGTCAGTAGAGATAGCTTGCAATGTTTGGATCTATGTATGTATCCATGTCAACAGAAGTTGAAGAGAAATACAAGCCAATATCGTGTTCTTCAACTTCTAACAACTATTTGTACGGGGCCAATCCTATAACCTTAAAATTCATTAAAACCATGAATCTTTGAACAATTGGAGCTGTTAAAACCTGCACGATATACTAATCATGGCAATCATCATTTATGAGATAAACCTGTTGGAATAGACTTCTAGGAAGAAGTGTCGATGTGTTGAAATGGTTCCAATATCTGTATAAAATAAATATCTCGGTATTTGTTCAACTAACTCATGAAAATACTTCTAGAGACCCAAGACCACACACCTCCGGCGAGCACTGTATGGAACCCTTTTTTTTTAATCTAAGGACGATTTAACCTGAACATATCAAGTACGATGTATCCAGACAAGATGACAAGTATACCTCCTGGTGGGCAAACCTATAATAATCTTAGAAAATGAAGTCAACTGCTAATCTGATAATCTAGGTAGCGATAGTTGAACTAACCTGTACAGTTGGCGCATAGATCGGGGCCAGAATAGATAATTTAATGATCATTCCTTGATTTTTTTCCCTCTGCTTGGCTTCTTCTAGAAGACTTAGGGGCAAGTTTCCGCTTCTTAGATGTTTCCGATTCAACTTTCTCCTTTAGTTTCTCCAACGCTGGATCATAGAAATAAGATGGGATGAGTGTTTGTATAAAATTGTAGCATCGACAAAAGATAAAAAGCTGTGTCCTTACCGGAAGGATAAATAGTTCGAAGTGACTCGAGAGAGTCAGAAGGCACAGAGTAGTTGGGACATGAATCGATGCCAGCTTTCTGTAAGAGTTTCTTGAAGCGCTTGACCTTCAATGAAATGGAAAAAGAATGCAATCCAAGATGATGAGAGAATGTTGGCTAAACCAATATATATCTTGATGTACATAGTATTGAAAATCCAGAGATTTAAGAGAAACCATCACATTTCTCAGCATCCATGGACAGGGCAGTAGAACAATGGAGAACATTTAGTGGCATCAGATGTAGGGCAGAGCTACTAATTGAGCTTATGCAGAAAGAATTACCTCCACTTTATCCAACAATGTGAAGCAACGGCCCTTTTGACCTGCTCTAGCTGTCCTACCAGCCCTATGTATGTAGGTCTTGACATATGAAGGCATGTCATAATTGACAACGTTTCTCACCCCTTCAACATCCATTCCTCGAGTCATTGCATCAGAGGAAACAAGCACCTGTACCTTCCCTTCCCTGAAGGCTTTTAATGTCTTGCTGCAGTGCAGTAAACATTGTTTAGATGCTGTATTACATTATCAACACAGCTATCCACAAACTACATTGGCAAAAGCATATGCTTGGTAGTTTGCAGTTTATCTTGTATATCCCAAATGGAAGCCAGACTAATATACCAGAATCCAGGATACCTCTTTTAATGTGCATATGTTAAGGATCAATCACTAAGAAACCAAACCGGATATTGTAATGCGAATAGTACCTTCTCACAGATTGACGTTGGAGACCAGAATACTCTTTGATATTGAGTTTCAAATCACCAAAGAAGTTCACTAGGGTGCAAAGCCGGTGGGTAGATTCCACTGATGAGGTAAAGACAATGCACTTTTCCGATCCTAAACTTTGTAGAACAGCAACCAAGTACAGGGGCTTCAGCTTAGACTCACACATCTGCCAGATGGATAAAGAATTTAGTTTCAAAAAGTAAAATTGGAATGCAGAGAAGTTCCTTCACTAACAACAACAATCAAACAGACTACCGATTCAATTAGGGATCAGCTTGATGCAGTTGATAGCAAAGAGTGATGCAAAAGGTTATTAAATTAACTGCAGAGCGGATAGAAAAAAAGAGCTCACCAAACTGTAGGATTCTAATCTTTCAGGAACCTGGTAACGCCTCTTCCCAGTTGTCAATAACAAAGGATGATGTAGATCAAGTTGAGCGAGCTTGCTTGGATCTCGGGTTAATGTGGCAGATAAAACCAATTTCACAAGCCTGGGATAAGGTTTCCCCTTAAACCCCTTTTCAACGCCACTGCAAATGAATTAACATTTATAAGAGGCCAACTAGGAAGGCGATTTGTTGTCACTTTCTACCAGAAATCCCTTCATTAAATGCAGAACATCCCAGAAAAATCTAGAGGACAATATATACATCTAGAGAATAAAACTAGTTGGAAGGAGTACAATGCAAAATAAGAACATGCAACTTACCATCTTCTTATGGTTTTCAACGGACCAAATGCAGATGGCAGAAAACTGTTAATACATGGGACAGGGCCTTCTTCATCAGAGCGAGTTAGGTTAAGAACAGTAGGAAGCCAAGACTGGTATGCCTCCCTGAGCATTCTATCAGTTTCATCAACCACCTGAATTAGCTAACTTCGATTAGTTCACAAGGATCAAATGTCCACTACTGATAGAACCAGCTTGCATTTGGTAATCTCAACTGAGAAAACACAGTAACACACTAGAAACTGTACATTCTAACCTGAAAGAGAAACTTTAAGAGAGAAGTTGCAAGTGGAAGAGACCGAAGTGATAATTAACACTGCAACTTACTAAATAGCAGAGGTGCTCAAGCGTAAATCCCTTAGTACTTGTGATATGGTCCATAAGCCTACCCGGCGTTGCGACCAATATATCAACCGAACTTTCTAATTCCTGTGGAAGATCATCTGGGTCGTAACAGATACCCGCCTCGAGCTTAGGTCTCTTAATCAGTTTGGATATTTCATCAGCTACTGAAGATTGCCCCACTGCCAGACCAACAGATAAGCCCACCGCCGGTGCAATTGCAGCAAACACTTCCTTCACCTAATCTCGATAGAGTGCCAACCAAGTCCACAAGAAAAAGCATTCGTTCAGTCTATTAGACGAAAAACTGTGGGGTAGCTGTCTAAATTTTCAATGGAAGGAGCGCTAAACCTGCAAGGCCAAGTCACGCGTAGGCAAGACCACCAAAGCGCGCAAACATCTGACGGTGCGATTCGAAAGCGCTTGCACAATAGGCAATGCGTAGGCCAACGTTTTACCACTGCCAGTGGGCGAATTTATGCAGAGGTCGCGCTCAAAGGCGCCAGGGCCGATTGTTTCCTGCCACACGCCAACTTGTACTGGAAAGAGCGATGAGAAACCCAACTCCTGCAGCGCGACCATCAGCCTGAAACCAGCAGCGGTATAAATATCGTTCAATCGCGAGCTCAAAACCAAGGCCATTGAAGAAGGAAACTGTTTATGAATCGAGTAAACTCCACTGCTCAGGGGCGGGAACAATAGGCGTACCTGGGATCAAGGCAAGGCAGGAGATCTAGAGGGCATTCTTCACAGTGACTGACGTCAACTGGTTGCCTCATCCATGGCAAGACTGGAACGCTTTCCTGTCGTGGTTCCCCCATTGGCGCCTCCTTCTTCTCTGTTCTCAACGGCTTCTCTACTCCGTTATACCCTAGCCAGAGGGTTTTGGATTTGGAGAGAACACTGGAATGTCGACCTAGAGACTAGGAAACTTGGAACTGTCCTGAAAAAGACCCTGGGCTTAGTAAACGAACTAAGAGCCCAACGCAACCCTTCACGGTTTCTTATAGTTTTCACTATTGAGCTGTGGTTTGGACTTGACTTCCTTCATCGAGGCCCAACTGTCCCGAACTTGGAGGGAATAACACGGTTTACGCAAATTCCTATCCTTCTCTTAGGCCCAAATTAACTTCTGTGACAATTAATTGGTAGTAGTTTTCGGTCCAATACAGGTAGGTGAATCGATAGGTGCACAACCCCTCTATAACAAGATTTATGCTATTGATTTTAAATGGGGTTAAATGATTTATGCTATTTTGTGGTGTTCCGCAGATGGTCATCCATACGATTAATAAAAAAGATTCAGTACACGCATTGGGTAGAAGTCTTCTTTCTGAGGTTCGGGTGTACAGATGGCATCGGGTCGGATCGGGAAGGGGTAACTATCTCCCGATACCCGCCCGTCAGGGGTGACAAATTTCCTCGTCTCCGCAGGTTAAACGTGGAGATTATTTTTACCACCTACGTAAGCAAAAGGATCCGGGTAAACCATGGATCATGTCTAGGGTGTTTGCCCCCAAAGAGGAAAGACCTCGCCCAGTGAAGTAGGACGACGAGACCGCGTCAATTTTCACTGTTCGCAGCAGCAACTCCATCCCTCAGCCAAACAAGGTTGATTCTGATCAACCTGCAAAAATGGAGGCACCGACTTCCATGCTCGACAAGAATCAAGTGGTGGTAGCTGAAGAGGAAGAGATATGGCGGAGACGAAAGAGGCGGGAGGGGAAGAAGAGGAAGAGATAAGAGGGAAAGGGGAAAGTGGTGAGAAGAAGAACGGTTGGCTAGAAAAAAGTGGATTAGGGTTTCCAAGGGTGAATCTTTATTTAGTTTATAAGCTAGGGTCTAAAACGACGTCATTTTGGGGAACGAGGCGGGGACGGGACGGATACCACAAGATCCATCACCACCTGTTGCCCGTTACTCACATATTTCGGGTATGCCCGAATCTGCCCTTTACCCACGACATACGGGTAAAAATGTTCACCATTTGGGCGGGTTTCGGGTGTGTATCTGACGGGTCGGTCAAGGTTGCCAAGCCTATTCAGGTTTCACTTTGCAAATTTGTCTCACGACGCTGCAGGTAGCCTTCTATATGAAGTTCAGATACGTCAAACCTCCATAAAATATTCATCGTTTCACTTCGTCTCGCGTAAGTATAATAGGGTTGCCCATCTCGTGGCAAAACAAGCCCTCTCATCGTTGGATCGTCGGTTGGCCGACCAACGACTCTTCCTTAATTCAATTTTGTAATTTTGACCTGCAAAGGTCCCCTTATTATGTCGTATTTGTTGTATTCGCTCTTGGGATATCTTTGGCAAAAACATTTGTGCAAATGGAGTTGGGGATCTAAAAAATAATATCAATTTCTGTATATTGCGAGAAAAATTATTTTATTACCATCAATATCATTCGTTACCACCCTGATTACCACCGTCATTTGATTACTCGAATTTTAAAATTTACCTAAAAAGAACGAGATTATATTGATTTATTGCATCTACAAATTTTTGGAGGCAAAATTTATTCAGGTATGGATCCATCCACTAAGAGATGTTTATGCTTGATTTTTTTAATCAAGGATGGTTGGGTTTCAAGGTTTCTACGTGTTGAAGCATTGGAGCACTAAAGCTAGTTTATCATAGGCCCTCAAACTAACCTCGTATTCACTGAGTGCAGCAAGATATGTATGAAAATCAGGACAGCGACTTAAGCTATTTTATACTAATTTGAAATATTATCCTATCGTTTTATTTTAAAAGCATCCGAATATGCACACTACTCCATAAGATAATAGATATTTATTAAATAGAAATTATTAAGATGATAATGTCAGAGAAACAGCCAATAGAACTATCCAGTGCGGGTGATTTTGATTGCTGACAAAAATGTTTATACATCATTTTTAGATTTTTTTTATTTTAAAATTTGAAATTGTATTTTTAACGTTATAGGTACAACTTAGGTTGTATCTTTTTATGGTACCTATATTCTTTTGTAAAATTCTTTTATGGTACAAACTTAGGTCGTATCTTTATGGTCAACTTGAAGTTGTATCATACCATAAAGTTCAAATTCTCTTATGGTACAACTTCAATTTGAACATTTTATGTTATGGAACAACTTTATGGTACAATTTTAAATTGTACCATAACATAAAGGTTAAATTCCCTTTTGGTACAACTTCAATTTATACGTTTAACGTTATGATACAATTTTAAATTGTACTTTAAAGTACCAATACTTTAAAGTACAGTAGAAGGGCTCAATTTAAACCTACATAATATCACATGTCCCCTACTTCAAAATTTATTATCAGTCATTATAATAAGAGCACATATGGAAAATCATTATTACAAATGGATAACATAAAATCTCTAATATTTCCCTTAGTTGTTATAATCAGCCCGAAGGTTAGTGAAAATGATGTTAAGAAGATAAGGAGCATGTCCTGTCTATGAGTTCAGACCGTATGCAAAGACATGCACAAGTTGAAGTGTGGGCTAGGAAGGCCAAACCAAATAGTTCAAGAAACACCATAAAAGATGTGCTCGATTTTGCCTTTGCACCCCTACCTTTTCAAAGATGGACATCAAATTTGTATTGGATTTTTAGACGAAGGTCAATCTAATGGAAGACAACGAAGACGAGTTCAAATTATAAAGCCAAGGAGTTGTTGTTGTATACAAAGACGAAGATCGTCATCGATTTACACCACTCCCAATGCGCGCGCACTGGAATCTAATCAGGAACGGCGTCGACCGCCGACGGTGAGACTGCAGAAGGGAGTGTCGATCATAGATCATGACCATGGGGTTGACTCCAAGGCGGACGACTTCATCAACCGGTTCAAGCAAGAGCTGAAGCTGCAGAGGCTCGAGTCGTTGCTGCGCAACAGAGAGTTGCCCGGCGACTGGCTTTGTCCGGCCGATCCTGCATTCAATGCCCCTCCGTTGAGAATTAAAACTCCATTTATTGGAGGTATTCGTCCGTTTCGGACTGACTTTACGACATGAGTCGTTAAGCTTCATTAGGGGCTTTTAAAGCATCATTTATTTGATGTTATTAGGGAATAATTTCCTATTTATGTGGGTCGGCTCAATTATTTTCTTTGTTAACCTTTTTTTTTTGGTAGAAAAAGGGACGCTAGAGGGCGCCCAAACCTGAAACTTAAATTAACCGATCTTAGGTAATACCCATAGTGTCATACAATGTCCAAAAATTGAGACCCGGATCTGAAATGTCAATAGCATGAGCGCCTAAGCTAAAGCCATGGGCCTTATTAGCCAAGTAGTCCGCCGCTTTGTTGCATTCGCGGTAGGAATGAGAGAGATGAACCTCCCAATTACGCTGCAACAGGTTCTGGAATCGCCTGGTGAGGTTGTGGTAGCGCCTACTTTCTTGATCCTTCCCTGTTAAGATAGCCAGTGCTGTTGTAGAGTCTAGGCGAAGGAGGACCTTCCTATGGCCTTGATCCCATGCCAGTTGGAGGCCAGTGAGCGCCCCGATGATCTCCGCTCTGGTGATGGAGCAGCTCCCTAAGTTGGTGACGAAAGCTCCAACACAGCGGCCAAGGTGATTGCGAAGCAGTCCACCTGCAGCAGCCTCCGAGTTGGGTTGTTTAACAGACCCATCCGAATTGATGACAATCCAATCTGCAGGGAGAGGAAGCCAGGCCAGTTCATGTCTTGTTTTGGCACCTTCCATAGCACTGAGGAGCCTCTGATTGTTATCCTGTGCTTGCTTGATAGCAGCAGCCCATGCCTTGATTCGGTGTGCCAAGATGTCTGCTTCTTGAAACTTTTTCTCAAATGTCCATTCATTCCTTCTTTTCCACGGGAACCAGGCCGCCACACCAAAATCAAGTTCGTCCCTTCTTTCTTCAGGTTTGACGCCATCCACCCTGCAAAGTTCAACCCATGAGTAAGGGGGGCCTCTATTAAGCCAAGAGAGTTCCATACATGTTTTGCCAAGGGGCAAGTTTGAATGACGTGCTCCGCCGTTTCTGATCCTGACTTGAAAAGCTCACACGTGTCGCTGTCGCAAAATTTCCTCCGCTTTCTCTCGCAGTTCGTCATGAGACGATCGTGTAGGGACAGCCAGAGGAAGTGTCTTATGCGGTTGGGACCTGGCCACTTCCAGGCATTCATCCACTTTGTGTGATTGTCCAAAACAACATTAGCATGGTCATCTTCTTGCAGCCACTCCACCGCCGCCCTGTACGCACTGGCAATGCGAAAACGGTCGTCGCTCTCCGGTCCCCATATGATAGTGCCATCCCCTGCTTCTTGGAGGGGGGTATCTGTACCTGCAAGTAGAGAAAGAATAGAGTCAGGGAGGTTATCCTTAATAGTTTGCCAATTCCACTCACCTGAGGGATCCACCATTTCTGCTACTGAATTCTCCCACTCGACGGTATGCCCATTGGCGACGACATGGTCTTTCAAAGCTAGCCCAGCTGAGATCCAATGATCTTTCCAGAAGTTGACGCTTCTTCCATCCCTAATATCCCAGATGGTGTTCTGTTTCACAAGAGGCAGGGACTCCTTGATCCCTTTCCAAAGCCGAGAGACCCGATGCTGGCGAAAAGCAACACTGCCGTCTTCGTTCTGCTTAACATATTTCCCATGAATCACCCTGACCCAAAGATTCTCCTCGTTGTTAAGAAACTGCCAGCCAAGCTTCATCAGATACGCCAGATTCAGTGCTCTGGCCGAGCGAAGACCTAGTCCGCCCTCCTCCTTAAGTTTGCAGACCGTTTCCCAAGTTACGAGGTGGGCCTTTTCCTTGCCATTCTCCCTGCCCCAAACAAACCCCCTAATCTTCTTATCAATCAGGTCACAGACATTGCAGGGCAAGACGGCAGTTTGCATGGCATAGTTTGGGAGAGCGTTGAGTACTGAAGAAGCCAAAGTAACCCTTCCTGCTAGCGACAAACTTTTAGTTTTCCAGCTAGCAAGTCTTTTATCAATGTTCTCAAGGATATACTTATAAGTTTCCTTCGTGACACGCCCATGGATAACCGGAACACCCAGGTACTTGCCTAAATTGGTAGTACGAGGGATTCCCATTAGACCACTTAGCCTGTTCTTGGTGCTTTCTTTAGTATTCCTTGAGAAAAAGACTCGCGACTTCTCTTTATTGAATTTTTCTCCCGAAACTAAGCAGAATTGATCCAAGCACCTCATCACAGTCTTTGCTTGTCTAACATCCGCTTCCGCTAGAAGCACGAGATCATCTGCAAAAAAACAAATGGGTTAGTGGTGGTCCATTTATAGATAAGCAGATCGGTTTCCAGTCTCCACACTCCACGGATTTTTTAATATTGTGATTTAAGCGCTCCATGCATAATGTAAAGAGATAAGGAGAGAGGGGACATCCCTATCTGAGACCGCAAGTGGGTTTGAATTCCTCGGTGCAGTTACCGTTCCATAAGACCTGGAAACTGGCTGTCGTGACGCAAGCCATGACAAGAGAAATGAAATCCTGAGGAAAGCCAGCAGCCTCCAGGGTAGATTGGAGGAAGCTCCAACTGATCCTGTCGTATGCTTTAGCCAAATCGACTTTCAGCACCATCAATCCCTTCACCCCCTTCTTCTGGTTTATGGTGTGGATAATCTCTTGCAGGATGATGATATTGCTGGTTATGTGGCGTTTGGGAACGAAGCTGGTTTGATTTTCATCAACTAGCTCCGGCATCAGCAACTTGAGGCGGTCAGCCAGGCATTTCGCAATGATCTTATAGCTGACATTACAAAGCCCAATTGGTCTGAATTGAGTCATATTACTCGGGTTATCCACCTTCGGCAGCAGAGTGAGCAGCGTCGAGTTGCAGCCTCTTATAGAGTCAGGTTCCTGGAAGCATCTTGTAATAAAATCCTGGAGCTCGACCTGAATAGTATTCCAGCAGCGTTGGTAGAAGATGGCATGAAACCCATCTTTTCCGGGAGCTTTCAGACTTCCCATGTTCTTAATGATGCTGCGAATTTCTTCCAAAGCAGGGATAGACGCCAGTCTGTTAAGAATGGAAGCATCCAATATCCTGAAATCCGCGTGGAAATTCTGGACAACATCGGTGTCTGCAGTAAATAACTCTACGTAGAAGTCACGAGCCATTTTCTGCAGAATTTCCGGGTCCTCAATCCAAACTCCATCATTGTTTTGCAGCCTTATAATCTTATTTCTTCTTCTCCGGGCAATGGTGGAGGAGTGGAAGAAAGGGGTGTTGCTATCTCCATTATTAATCCAATTATCTCTGGATTTCTGCAGCCAAAGGAGTTCTTCCTGCCAAAGGGTCTTCTCTAGCTCTTCCCTGACACGAGATTCCTCTTGCATAGCCCTAGGGTTGGGATTTCGATCATTGATGAGCTCCCATCTGGCCAACTGACTCGACAGGGACCTCTTCCTCTTGAAAATATTACCGAAAACCTCCTTGTTCCAAGTTTGGAGAGTCTCTTGCAGGTCGAAGAGGGAGAGGTTAAAATCTTTACCACGATTCCACGCTGAATCTATAGTGTTAGGGAATGATTCATGGGAGAGCCAGGCTGCTAAGAACCGGAATGTTCTTTCCTTGCGTGAGGAGGCATAATCAATCGAACTCCGGATGAGGATAGGCCGGTGATCTGAGCGAACACGGGGAAGGTGAGTATTGGAGGTGTCTGGGAAACAGTCGAGCCAATCCCTATTGCAGAGGGCTCGATCAAGGCGCTGTGAGAGCCTTCCGTTGGTCCAGGTAAACCGTGGACCAGTAAACCCCACATCTATCAGATTGCAATCGTTGATACACTCATTAAATTGAGTAGTTCTCTAGGCGTTGAAACCACGCCTCCCTGCCGATCGGAAGGACTGCAGATAGAGTTAAAATCCCCAATGAGAAGCCAAGGGTTTTTCATATTTTGCTCAATACGGCGAAGAGAATCCCAAAGGGGACGACGGTCGTGGTCATTTGGCTTAGCATAGATAGCAGTCATTTTCTACAGTACGATTATCCTGCAAATCCAAACACCGGCATAGAGCTTTTGATTGGAGGATACCGGCATCTAATTTATTTGATGGTAGGTGCCCTACACCGGCATAGAGCTTTGCTCAACAATGGCAGGTTCTATTCATGGTAATTATTTGCCTTTAATGTGTGCTTTATTGGTAGTTAATGGGTTAACCAATGAGACACACGCAAGTTTGATCTTTTACATTTAAATGAACTTTTGATGAGGGGTGGATTTTTGGCCTTCCAAATTGGTTTAATGGAGATTATCTTAATTACATGCTTCTAACCTCAGTTTTGAAGAGACCATTGAACGCTTTCTTCATATGCCCCCTAGCCACCAAGTTGTGGAATTGGTGGGATTGACCAACTTCAATGATTCCACCCCGACTGTTAATTTAAGTCTATTGTGGCGATATGTCATGATCTCTGAGATCTCCCCTTTCCACATTCTCCAATACGTCTGTTTACTTTGGAGAATCTGAAAGTCTATAAATAAAGTGACTTTTGAATTCTACCAACCTCATGTATGTTCCCTCGCCAAACAATTCTACAACCAGGTCATAGAAGTCTACATTTTTCACCCCCTCCTTCGCCCCCAGATCGCTCCTCCCAATTCCTCCCGCGCCACTTGGGAGCCTCCACCAGAAGTCTTGTTGAAGATAAACTTCGATGTAGTTGTTCTTGACTCAGAGTGCTCGTCTAGTCTTGTTATCCATGGGTCAGACGGGCATGTGGTGCTGGCAGCTAGTATGCGTCACCAGAGAGTAGTCAACCCCTGCCTGGCGGAGCTCCTAGCATTAAGGGATGCTTTCACCTTTGTCGCCTCAAGATCCTTGAATCATGGGATTGTGGAAGGTGATTTCAAGGTGATTGTCAACTAGATTCCGCAAGGTGTCCTAGAAGATTCCTAGTGGTAAGAGGGGTTCCAATGTGGAGGTGAGTTAGTATTTGGTTGGCGGCGCGGTCTTTGGAGAGCTTTAGGATTATAATTTGGGTTTGGATTTTTGCTCCTCAGAGAGAACAAAGCGAGGAGAGGAAGGAAAAGAGTAATAAGTGTGAACTGGGTGAGGGAAGCCATAGATAAAAGTAATTGGGGCGCAATCTTGGTAATCTCTCCTTCAAGAGAAGCCATATGATCTTTCCAGTTCAACGTTGATGCCTACATTTCAATCACAAAAATCAATGATGCTATTTGCCACTTTTAATTTTAGGGTTCACAATGAATGGGAGGGATCTGCAAAAAGACGAAGAGAGTCTGGTTGGAGAGGAGATCGTTTGTTTGAAATTTTAGAACTTGTTTGGGAGGGACGTGGCCATTTTGGGGATAGAAACACATATAATTATGGTTGTCATGCCAGTGGAATGTTGGCCAGTTGAACCTGGTTCAACCGGTGTCGGTAATGAAACAGACGTGAATACCACTGACATGACCTATTTTTCGTCTTATAAACAAAATAACGTCGTTTTAATGAATTTGATTAATAAAAAATTAATTTACGATTTATTTCGTGAATTTAAAAGCTAAATGTTGATGTTATTTGTTGGATATGAAAGTTTGAGTGTTGATGTCAAATGTTGTATTTAAAAATGAGTATATGTTATTTGATACGAAACATCATATATTATTTAAATTTGAACATAGACAGTAAGTAAATGGTCTTCAAATATGTTTTATATATGCTTAAATTCGTTTATGTTAATGATATTACATATTTTATTATATTAACATGAATTGGCACAAACCATATGTACCACCGATCAATCCATAACACTTATTAAATCGTCGCACTATGTAAACCAATTTGACAATCTTATAATTGATTGATCGTATAACCAATAACCATATGTTAGACTGTTACCGGTTAATTGAGTGGTTACAATACTAACCGGTTAACTAGATATCATCCCTAGTATTATCCTATAATCTCCTATTATATAATTTTCCACGAGTCATCTTAGGCTCTTTGGTAGTTTGGTTTTAGTGATAGTTAAATTGATGTATTGTCATCAATGCATGTATATTAATATGCATGTATATAAGAAAATTGATGTATTCTAGTTTACATTGTTTGATTTTTGTGATAGTTATTGTAGTATTTAGATAAGTTATATTACTTTTGGGGCAAAATGCCACTTTTACCCTTTTGCTTTTAATATAAAAAAGTAACATACATAAAAAGGTAGGGACATAGTTTAAAAAAAAATAAACCAACAATCTCCACAAAAAAATCTCAACAATCTCACAAAAAACTTGAGATTTGCTTGTTTGGAGGTTAGGATTTGAGATGAATGATTTAGCCAATACATGCATTGAGGAGATTAAGTTGTTTTTTTGGTTTAATTTGGGCTGAAATACATGCATTACCTTTTTGAGGGCCCACTCACAATCCCTCATAATGGATGATTTACAATCTCTCCTTTAATGAGAGATTGTAAACAAATGATTGTGGCCTAACTTTCTATTCCATTTCTATCCCTATTTTCTTTTCTTTATACCAAGATTAACCTCATCCTCCACTAACCCTCTTTCCTTCCATCGACACATAGAAGCTAGAAAAGGGGAAAAATCTATCTTGTTCCTCCCTCGACGACCTGCGTCGGAATTCCAGAAGATCAATCCTTGAACTCATCTACCTCGCCATCCACGTTAATCCTTGCATCCTACAGGAATCGCTGCCTCCTCACCTTCACGACGGAGCCGACTTCGTAGCTGTATCCCGCCATTGGAATTCGTCCGAGATCGAAAGAAGAAGGGCCTTGTGTTTTAGCCGGGAATTGAAGGACATCACTTGTTTTGGACTCCATTTTAAGCAGCCGAAGAACCTTCTATTTGGATTACCCGTTGTATGCGATGTCCTAACGGTTGCAGGAGAGTCGCACTTGCAAATTACAGAGATTTCTTCTTGGTCATTGTCAGGGATTCGCCGGAATTGTCGCGTATCCGTCATTTGGCTGGAACCCAGTTCTATTTTCCTCTCGCTGCTGCTTTACCCGACCTAATAGCCTTCCCCGCCAACCTGGAATGGATATAAAGGAAGGAGGAGTTGGTGAAGGGCAATTATGCCCATCAATCTGAAAAGTGTACTATTTTTAGGTTATGTGAAAAGTACAATATACAACACCAAACAAGGGATTTACCAAATACAACAATTGATAGAATGCATATATTTACAATACATCAATTGATAGAATGCATATATTTAACTATCACTCATGTTGAGTTATAATTTGTGTTAAATCAAGCAAATAATGCATGTATTGTTTGTATAGAGAATTAAAGAAACAATACATACATTGTAACTATCCCACTAAACCTAGGATAGCAAAAGCATAATACTCTTCGAAAGAGGGGATGAGGAAGGAGGGTGATGACTGATGAATGATGATGACGGAATCCTGGGGTTGACCAATGAACAGTGAGCGAGCATGGCACAATTGTCTATCATTCGCTCATGATGACCACCACTGGTTGAAAGTTGAACTTTGAACTTGAAGCTCCGGGGGAAAAATGGCGAAGAAGAAAGTGAAGAATATATTAATAGAATAACTCGATAATTATTAAGACGTTTTTTTTATAGGAATAAGACGTTTTTTTTTTGTGAGAATTATTTTGTTCAGTTGTTTGTTGGATTATATTATTACATTATTCTTCCCCTGTCCCGCCAAATTAACACTAATACCAAAGACTTGCTGCTCCCTCTCTGATTAGTGATTAGTGATATTACCAAACAAACAAACAAAAGTCCATCCAATTCCATCCTCGTAGGCCAGCCATCACCTTCCCCGGTCCAAACCTCACAATTGCTTCTCGAGATCTCCCAAAATTTCTCTCTCCCCTAAATTAACGCCCATCGATCGTATTCCAGTTTTGGAGTTGGGTCTCTCTCTCTCCATCGTATACTAAGATCTGAATATTCTCTCCTTGCCTCGGCAACTTTGATCTCCACGTGATCGTACAAATCAGAATTGAAAATTCAGAATCAGGGCAAAATCAGCACCCTCCGTTGATTCATCTCCCTTTTCAATTTCATGGTTTTCCCCTTTCTGATGCATCCTCCGTCGCCTTTATTATCTTCCCTCTTCCCCGCCTCCTCTTCTCTTTTCATTTCCATCTCCATAACCGTCTCCACCATCTATTCCTCTGCTCAATCAGAAACCATTTCCTTCGTTCTTTAACCTTTCCCCCCCTTCTTTCGTTTTGGACCCCTTTTCCTCTCTCTTCGTGGGTTTCTTGTTCCGGTCAAGATGAGTGTTGCCAAGTCTCAGGTATGGCAGCCGTGTAAAAAGAAGAGGTCTTGATCGCATAACCGCACCAGCTCTAGGGCAGCCAGATTCAATTGGGGTTCGAATTTAATTCTGTTAATAATAATAATAATAATAATAATTGGGGAAAGTGGGTCTTGAGGAGATTGGAAATTCTGTCTGCTTGATTGCCGATAGCCGACAGAGAGAGGCCAGGAGAAGGCGGAGGGCGAGGGAATTTGTGGGGTTAATATGGCGACTAGAGGGCATGGACACGGGCACGGACATGGTGGAAGCGGGAGCAGAACTCGCGTCGGGAGGTACGAGCTCGGAAGGACGCTTGGGGAAGGAACCTTTGCGAAGGTGAAGTTTGCCAGGAATGTTGAGAACGGTGAGAACGTAGCCATTAAGATTCTCGACAAGGAGAAAGTCCTTAAACACAAGATGATCGCTCAGGTTCGCCCTCCAATTTTTCGTGTTTCCCCTTTCTGTTTGTTTGATTGTAATCCTGACAGTTTTGGTGTCAATGATATCATTTTGCTGAATGATCGATATAGTTTGTCACATGTCATTTATGTGAATTGGGTTGTCGAGATTGTGTGTTCTGTGGAGCCCCATGATGATGAATAGAAGAAATGGAGAGGAAGCTTAGATCTTTCTGTTTGCACTCTACATTTGAGAAAAGGTCAACTTTTCCCGGGAAATTGTCGGTTTCAACCACCCCCTTCTTGGGCCTTGCGGTCGATTGGTGCCTTCTTGGGCAACTGCCATGAAAAAGACTTCCAATGGACTTCAATTCGGGTCATTTTAGTTCCAATGATTTCCATGATGAAGTAACTTTACGAAGTCGCTTTTTGTTTATTTATCATCGCTACTGTGTCTAAGTACGATGTATGTTTTCTGAATTGCACTTGTTGAGCCTGTGTAATTGGTGGTTCTTAAATATGGTGCTGCGGCTGACTGGTTGCCTTGTTTTGCCACTCTTATCTTTTCTTTGCAGATCAAGCGAGAAATAGCAACCATGAAGCTTATTCGACACCCAAATGTCATCCGTATGTACGAGGTTAGAAATTAGAGCCCTATTCCCTTGTTCTGGTGTTGTACTATAGGTCTTTTCATTGGTGGGTCGATTGGTATTGCTAGTAGATTGTATTTCTGGACTCTTAGGCTAGTAATCTTTCTCACGCTATTATGCTTAAAATGGGAATCATACCTGGCGCGTAGTTGTTTGATATCTTTGTTCATTTGGGCTGGCTCTTCCTTCATCCATATTTGGTAATGTGCTGCTGCTCTTCTATTTCAGGTGATGGCAAGCAAGACAAAAATTTACATCGTCATGGAATTCGTGACTGGTGGTGAACTTTTCGACAAAATTGTACGGCCTATAATCTTAAGTCTTAACCTTGCTTTGCCTTTAATTACGTGCTTGAGCACGAGGATTCAATACATTCTGTTCTTATTTTGCTACTTAAATCAGGCAAGTAGAGGGAGGCTGAAAGAAGACGAAGCAAGGAAGTATTTTCAGCAGCTTATAAATGCAGTCGATTATTGCCACAGTAGGGGTGTATATCATCGAGATCTAAAGGTATGAGAGTCGTTAATACTTTTTATGCATTGAATGTTTTCTTGATAAATATTTCCTTGACGGATGTGCTATCCCATATACTGTTATCAGCCTGAGAATCTGCTTCTAGATGCTTCTGGAGTCCTTAAAGTCTCAGACTTTGGATTGAGTGCATTGCCTCAGCAAGTTCGAGTAAGTATGATGATTTCATGGTTAAGTTGTCACAAATTTGCTCATTCATTCCTATTCTTGCAAGAAGTTGCACAATCTTCTGAACTGGATAATTTCTTCTGTCCTCTAGGAAGATGGGTTACTCCACACTACATGTGGAACGCCAAATTATGTTGCTCCAGAGGTACACAGTTTCTTTGCATTTAAAATTCATTTCTTAATAATTCATGAGTCCTCTGTTCTTGGTTTCTTATCTTGCACTTCTCCAGGTAATCAACAATAAAGGTTATGATGGAGCCAAGGCGGATTTATGGTCTTGTGGTGTGATTCTTTTTGTCTTGATGGCTGGTTACTTGCCTTTTGAAGATTCTAACCTCATGCAACTGTACAAAAAGGTTTGTTTTCTTTTCTTTTCAGCACCAAATTATGAATGTGTATTTTTATTGTAAAGCCCTTTTATTGTTCCCTTCTTTAGTTGAGTACGATTTGGTATCTTGGCTGCTTTCGGCCATGTGAACTCTTTTGTATCTGGCTGTTTTCCTCGGTAATACGATTGATTTTATGTTAAAATTTTTATGAATGGGTATATATGGCATGCTTTTCTGTAACACACGTCTATGTAGCTCACACTGGTTCGCTGTAAATTCATATTCAGTTCAAGGTCTTAGTAACTGTTACAAATTTGTAAGCAATCTTTCTTTGTCAATGTTTTACCTGAGAATATCTGTGGTTGCAGATTTTTAAAGCGGACTTCTCTTGCCCTCCGTGGTTCTCCACCAGTGGAAAAAAACTAATCAAAAGGATATTGGATCCTAATCCAGCTACGGTACAGCATCTTTAGTTTCTTTATCCCCTGTCAATATTATTTGGTCCAGACTTGGTGAATTCACACCATCTACTTATGATAATGAAACAGCGAATCACTATTGCTGAGGTTATTGAAAATGAGTGGTTTAAGAAAGGGTACAAGCCACCTGTTTTTGAACAAGCTGATGTTAGTCTTGATGATGTGGACTCCATCTTCAATGATTCAGCGGTAAGGTTCTTGTTCCTTATCCTGCACCATGCATGAATGGTTCTTAATGCACATTTTGCAAAGTTCAATATGATAATTTCTGTAAATGGACAGGACACTCGGAATCTTGTTGTGGAGAGGAGGGAAGTTGGACCTGTTGGTCCTGTGGCCCCTGTGACCATGAATGCTTTTGAATTGATCTCTACATCTCAGGGTCTCAATCTCAGTAGTCTGTTCGAGAAACAGATGGTATGTTTTTATAGGCACTGCATATTTATTGTCATGAAGCAATAAATCCTTTGAGTTTAAGTTTAAACAACATCCATTTGTTGTCTTCATGTTCTTCTCTATGTAAATGTTTCTGGTTCCCAGATAAATATGTTCATTACTAGTAGCCGCATGCTTGAGAAATGACAGTTTAGTAAATCATCTATTCTTGGTAGTTTTGTTCAGCTTTGAGTTGATCTTGGTGTTTGGCAATCATGGTGTAGCGTATGCGCTGTATGTCTTTTAAGCCCCTTTTAGGTTGTTAGTTGATAGCGTGGAATACATATCAAACTTATGTTTTCCATTTTGAAATTAGGGACTTGTTAAACGTGAAACTAGATTTGCATCAAAAAGTTCTGCTAATGAGATAATGACACAAATTGAAGCAGCAGCAACACCTTTGGGTTTTGACGTGAAGAAGAACAACTTCAAGGTTTGATATTTTCTCTCAGTTTTTTCAAAAGAAATGGTTGTCCATTTTGTTTTATGTGCTCCCCTTCTGTAACCTAGATGAAGCTTCAAGGAGAGAAGACTGGGCGTAAAGGTCACCTGTCAGTTGCAACTGAAGTAAGTTGAATCATTTGATTGCTACATTTTTTCCGTAACTTCAGTTGAACAGGAGGTATTCATCTATCCATATCTTTCGTTTCAGATCTTTGAGGTTGCTCCTTCTCTTTACATGGTTGAGGTTCGCAAGTCTGGTGGTGACACCCTGGAATTCCACAAGGTATGGTTTTTTTATTGTGTTTACTTTGTTGGACAATAAGTTGGCATCTCAATAAGCAATTGTCAGCTTCTCTTCACAAATGCCTTAATATTTAGATCGGGTCTGTGGTCCTTATTCTGATAAGTGAAAGACGTGTTGCAGTCCGGTCCCTTATCCATCGGTACCATATATCAATGCCCTTATCGACGGCTTGATGACTGTTTGTTATTGTTTGTGATGCAGTTTTACAATAACCTGTCGACTGGATTGAAGGATATCGTTTGGAAAACAGTGGATGAAGAAAAGGAGGAAGGAAACATACAGATTGAAAGCACAAGTTGAAACAGGTATGTGGGTGTGAGGAAATGGAAAAGTACTTTCCTTACAACTGCAAGAGTCATTCCAAAAAAAAAATAATTAATAATAATAAGAAAGAGCAACAAAACTGCATGAACGAGGCACATCTGTGCTTCTTTCTAGTAGTGGCCATATGGAAGTGTTGTCGAATCACCTTAACATACACGAGATCGCCATATTTGGGGGAGCAAGTGAAACCCATTTGACAAAAACTATCCTTGGAGGCCATAGACATGTAGGAGTTGTGCCTTCCAGATATTGTCAGCAGAAAGTTTGTTATGTGCTGTTTCTAACATGCAGCTTTTCCATTGTCCAGCAGGTTTACTTGATAATAAATGTCTGTTGACCTCAGCTTGGTCCTGGGAGCTGCAATGGGATTGGGATATCTGTCTACTGCTAGTACCTTTGGTTTAGTCATTATAAAGGACTAGAAAGTTTGATGCATATATTGGAGCAACAAAAAATAAAATGTTGAGTGCATATATATTATAGTTGTGGGTGTGTTGCAGTAGAAGCAGCTACTAAGAATAGGCTGTTAAGACCGCATATTATGAAACTATAATATGAAGTCTGTGCTTGTAAACTTGGACCTGTGAATGTGAAGCCTGCCACTGTGGCGAGTTTCTCTGCTTTGTTTTGTTCGAGTGAGTAGGACCAAAACTCAACAACTGGGATTGCAGATGGGAAAACAGTAAAATAGTGCGATTTTGTTGTCTGTGAAAATGGGAAGCTTGTGAGCCATATCCTAGATCAGAGAATAACAAAATTGTATTCTCTGCAAGTTAAATTTTTTTTTCCTTCAACGGTTACAAGTCTGTAAGTTAAAAGTTAGTTGAAGTAGAAAGAAGATTTAGTTAGTCATATAATGCGTTACCATGTTCACACGAATGTTCAAACAAATCATACTCAATTGAGTCTTTTTCGTGCGAGTCACATCTATGAAGAATATTTTTTTAGAGGTCGAGGACCGCTACTATACTTCTATGGATCATCGTTGTAACCTCCATAATTTAGGTTGTGCTTGTTGCTAAGCTAGATTGTCATTGGTAACATTAATAAGTTTGCTAAGTGATACTAACCATCAAAGCCCTATATTTTATAACTCAATGCAAGAATGAGACTATGGCACGCCCATGACGTAGAGGAATCAACATGAACTGATGAAAAGAGATTGAGATATCCGAATGATTCTTGCTTTGTCATGTTCTTACCACTTTCAACTTGACCAATTCCTCACCTTTTAACCGGACACGTTACAAGTAATGACCAACATATGCTAAGAACGATATAACATTACACCATCTGAGATCACGAGTAATGTACAAGATTGTACAATGTTGACTTTGGAATGCTGTCTCTAGCATGATACTTGAGTCCTTTATGTGCCTCCAAAGTTTATTTCTTTGCATGGTTTTCTTCCTTCATCGCAAGCATTGCGGACTTGTGGTTTGAATTGTGTGATATCTTTGTCATGTTTGTAGAAACTAGAAAGAGATACTTTTTTTCATATTTAAAAGATTATCAACTTCAATCAAAATACCAATAAATATGATAAATTTTTATGTTTTTACGACATATATTCAAAATGCTTACGACCTATACCGATACTTATTGAGTCATCGTCGAAACGTGTCTAATCCGGCCCGGGCAATGTATCGCCCGGCGGCGAGGAGGCCGGCAAACAATATGATCCACTTCCCAGTTCAAATCGAACGGCCGACGTCACCAATCCGAAAAAGGACAAGGTCGTCTAAAAAGCTTTGACTCGGACGTTACGCGCCACGCAAATACACTCTGATTTCTCACTCGCTATAAAACCAACCAACTCCCTCGCATCTCTCGCTCTTTTTTTTGTTTTCTTTCGAAAGCGTCGAAACCAAAAAATTTGCCTCCCACAAGCGCCAGCGCAATGAGGGAAGAAGCTATCAGCTCCGGCGGGACCAAGGATCCCACTTCTGCAGCAGCCAGGTACCCGAAACCACACTTCACTACTCCTGCTCTTGCTCTCTTAGGGTTTCTGTTGCCTTGCTAATTCTGCGTTTCTGCGGATCGAGGGGGAAATTAGGGTTTCAAATCTACTAGCTTTGGTCAATATTAGGTTTCAATTTCGGGGCGTTTGCTCTTTGTCACCGTTAAAATGATGAAGGGCGGGAAACATCTGCCAATTCTTTGAGCTTTGCCCGTAACGAGGGCTGTTTGTTAGGTGTTTGGGCTCTTTCCTTGGAGCTCGGTATTTTGGTGGGTAAGTGATTGTCATACTTCAACTATATGGCGACTGATGGTTTCGGTGGAAGATTTGACTAAGATAAAAGGAAATGCAAATATGCAATTGAATACAATAGCTTCTTACTTTGTTCACCCTTCTTTTTCTCCATTCTTTTTGATGAACGAGAATGACTGTAGCTGATGACATTGTCTTAATTCTTACATGCAGAAGATTAAATAGGAATCTCAAGTCTGGGGACTAGGGTGAAAACGATTGCAGTACTATGACTCAATGTTCTAGAGAAATTAATTCTGTTAAAACTTTCATTTAAATCGCATGTATTTCCTGCGGGTTGGTCGGCATCTCACTCTTGGATAATAAGTCGGGTGGCAAATAGATTCTTTAGTCTTCTTTACTGGTGTGCTTGTTGCGGAAGAAAAGGAGCACCATTTGCTTATTCCTGTGTTTTGGTTTTGTTTCCTTGTTTGATAAAACGATGATTAGGATTTGTAAGTTTTTGCACTTAGTATACTCTTTTTTGTGAAGTTAGTTATTCTATCTTTCAAGATTGTGCCATTAGGTTAAGGTGACTGGCTGGCCCATTAACTATGTTACTGTTTGTGTATATACTATGTTACACTCTTAGCTTACTTGAATGGCCTTAATGTTCCCTGAAAAATCAAATGATGAAACCTAAATGAATTTTAAGTGTAAAGGTCTGAATCAGGAGTGCTGTAGTTTCTCCTTGCCTGATAACTTTTTCAATGCATGACAGTGTAGGAACTTTATTTTGTATGTTTCAAATACTTTCCCCTGTTTGCTTGGTGAGAAGGTTATGATTATTGCATCTGAGTCCAAGTGTTGGGTGAATAATTATTGTACCTTTTTTACTCGTGTTTTATCCATGTGTCACCATGCTCGTTTTATCTCCCCAAAATTTCTGAATGGTGTATGTGCATCTTACCTTATAGTTCCGCTGGTGCGTCTTCACGTGCCGGACCTGTCAATGGTGGCAAAAAAGAGAAGTCCAACAATGCTCTTGATTCCAGCATGGCTTCTCCGTCTGTCATCCGTTCTAAACAACCTGGGACTTCTACTCTTGGTTCAGCAAGACTTGCATGTAGGCCATGGGAGAGAGGCGATTTATTAAGGCGCCTAGCTACATTTAAACCAATAAATTGGTCTGGAAAGCCTAAGGTACTGTACCAAGTTGCTTGTAGTATTCATGGGTTGATGTTGCATCTTGTTTTCTTTGAAGAATCATACCAGCATTGTATTATCTCCTAATACAAGAGAATACAATAACAGTTACCTACTAAGGAAACCCATATCCAGAATACGGGGGAAAATTTAATCAAATTCCAAGAAACACAAAACTGTGAAAGAACAATCGAGGATAAAAAAATAAGGGTATTCTTGGTTTGCAAACTGAATTTGTGCAAATGAGCAATGCACAGGCAGTTAGATATCTGGGTTTTGCCAGCATAGTAGTCATGGTCCCTGAATTCGGCCTTGTGGAGTTGTAGTTTTCTAATTTTCATGCCTTCTCTAAACAAAGGATGAAAATGTTTTTCTAGCCTGAAAGTTGTCTCTATTTTGTAATGGATTGCAGGTTACCAGTTCATTGGCGTGTGCTCAAAGAGGTTGGATGAATGTTGATGCTGACAAAATTGTTTGTGAATCCTGTGGTGCATGTCTGAGTTTTATGCTGTTATCTTCCTGGACTGTCACTGAAGGTTTGTTATCTAGTAACGTGCTCCCTTCCTGTTCATATTTGTTTGATGAGCTCAAGACTGGAGGAGTTCTTTTAGCTGGCATTTAAATACTACTATATATTGATTTTTTCTGAAGAGTCAAGTCCATAGTCGGGTTGCCCATTTTTGAATCCAGCCTAACTAGATGGAGCAAGATGTTGTCTGAGGCAGTGCAAGGATGGGTAGAATAGATATTGGCTTGTCCTTTTTGTTCCGCATCAAACAAAAATCCACATTTCAGAAAATAACTATATGGGAATACTATAACGGGGATGCTTGGTTTTACCTGAATGTGCCATTGCCTTGTCTCTAAAAGTGAATATGTGTTCGATAAAAAAAAAGGGGAATATGTGTCCAGTTGTCAGTAGGCAAGGGCAAGGCAAGGCAAGGCAAATAAGATCTTATTGGGTATAGTTAGACTAATCTTGAGAAAGTGAATATGGTCACTAATGCAGGGATAAACAACAGGTAACTCTCATTTTGGGGTACGATTAGAACATCTAGTTGCTCCCAGCACTCTATCTGGTGTAAAGTACTATTTCTTCATTGATGTTTATTTTTGGCTCATATGTTGTTTTACTGTTGTCTAAGTTACATTAGCCTTGTGAACATTGACATGTGCTTTCTTCTTTTCAACTATTCCTGTCGTCCTTCGAACTGAAGTTGAAGATGCTGGAGAAGACTTTGCTAAGCAGTTGGATGCTGGCCACGAAGCTAACTGTCCTTGGCGAGGTCATAGCTGCCCTGAAAGCTTAGTGCAGTTCCCTCCCACTCCACAGTCTGCTTTGATTGGTGGATATAAGGACAGATGTGATGGACTTCTGCAATTTCAGTTACTTCCTATTGTTGCTTCATCTGCCATTGAGCTGATGCGCGTTTCTCGAGGTCCACTCGTAGATCGCTTTCTGTCTCAGTCTCAAAATCCTACTTTCGAAGGAGGAGACCTAAAGTCAGAGGGCTTGCAAGAACCTGGAGATGGAGCCCTCGGTCCATATTATATTGTAAGAGTAATCTATGCATATTGCTTGTTACCAATCGATATGGGTTGCACAATCAGTTATGAGCTGATGCCAAACCTCTTTCGTTGTTCGTTTTTTCTACTTTTCTAGGCCCAGAGGCTCATCAGTCTTTGTGGGTGGGAACCAAGATGGCTTCCGAATGTTCAAGACTGTGAAGAGCATTCTGCTCAATCAGCTCGAAATGGATATTCTTTTGGGCCTGCTTTGCCACAAGTTCATCCTTCGCGTGAACGTGGATGGAGCAACCAGGCACATACTGCTTCAGCCAAAAAAGACAACGGGAAGAAGAAAATGGTTGCTGTTGAGTCAAAATGTGATTCCAGGTCACCTTTATTGGACTGTAGCTTATGTGGTGCTACTGTGAGAATACTCGATTTCTTAACTGTCTCTCGACCTGCACGTTTCGCTCCAAATGATCTTCCTGATGGAAGCAAAAAATTGACCTTAACACGTGGAGTGAGTGCTGCTAGTGGAATTAGTGGTTGGGTTGCAGCTGATGATGCAGAAAAAGAACAGGCTGAAGACCGTGATGAAGTAGCAACTACAAATGAGGGAAAGCTGCCAATGAATGCAGACGTCGATTTGAATCTCACAATGGCTGGTGGTTTATCTTTTACTCCTTTGGACAAGTTGATGGATGACGATAACCTGGATGATGTGGATATGGGCAGAGATCTAATGATTGGTCAACCAGCTGGGAGTGAGGTTGGCGACCGTGCGGCTTCATACGAGTCCCGAGGACCTAGTTCTAGGAAGCGGAGCTTGGACATAGTTGGTAGCTCAGATGATAGGCGACACTTGATTTATCCTGCTGACAGTGTTGAAGGAACTGTCATTGACCGTGATGGTGATGAAGTTACTGATGGGAGGCAGTTTTCTGCTGGGCCTTCAAAACGAGTTCGTGATACAGAGTTTTTCGATTCACACAGTTCATATCCAAGATACTCCTCTGGTGCTGGTCCTAGCC